AAAAAAAAAAAAAAGAATTAGAAAAGTTAAGAATGTCCATCATACCCCAAGGCTGAATTTCTGGCCACTCAAATGGTAAACACAGAAAGCTCCAGTAGAAACTAGAAGGGGGGAAAAAAAAAATCTAGAGTCATTGATTTATTGGGGGGCTGGGGGGAGGGAAGAGGGGCATGCTAGTGTAACTGGGGAGAAGTAGTTTTGTCCTTTTCATAAGGGCCCAAAGAGATTTCCATCAGGCGTCCTGCCAGGAGTGCTATAAGCACCGTGCAAAAAGCAGCCAGGTATAAATGGACAAAGAGTTATCAAAAAATTAATTCAAGACAGAAACATCAACAGTACTAGGAGACACTCGAAGTTAAGATCTGATTGTGAGGAGGAAACAGGAGGCGTGTGTTTGGGATTTGTTTTCAAAGTCCGGGGCAGGAGTGCAAGGGTGGAGGAGAAATGCTATTTTGGGGTAAGATTTCTATCTGGTATTAAAGTTCACCTGGGAGAACAGGCTAACCAGAGAGCGTGTCCACTGAAAACAAACCAGGACCAACACGAGCCTGATCACAGGATCCACCTGCACCGCGAGTATATACCATTTCTTCGGGCAGCCCAACACTTCCATGTAAATGCCAGCACTGCAGAAGTAAGTCTACTCAACTAACTCTTGAGACCCAGATAAAATTCTTCCTTACTTCATGAAATAATAAAAGAAAGTAAAGCCATCTGAGTAAGTTTCATGGTAACATTAATAATTCAATTCTGAAATTGAAATATAAATCCTAAATCGCGGGAAGATTGCAATTATAAATCTCCACACCAGAGTCTTGTAGCTGTTCTACAGCCTAGGTCACAGTCATGAGATTTTTTTTTCCCCTTCTTAAAAGTAAAGTGATAAGAACTGTGTCATTTTCTATGAAGTTTTAAACCATATTTCTTCTGGCCTTTTCCATTTGAAACTGAAATTCATTTCCCAATAAATATTTTAACACCATTCTTATGAGCAGGGACAATCCATCAGAGAACAATTCCATAATTGTTTCCGAAGCTTACAATGCATATAATGTCACAAAGTAAAGGTCCTGGATGGAAGACACGATTATGATTAAACCTTGAAAACAATAGTGAGGTCTTGAGAGCATACTCATCAAATGAAGAAACAGAGCGTAATTCAAATGCAGATTAAACCAAGTGCCTGCAGACGAGAGGGAAAGAGAATACACCCACTAGAAATTCCTTTATGAAGATTACCAGCATTGAATGCCTTTTTAAAAATTCAAACTTCACCCTGCATATATCTCCCTTCTTCTGTACCATCAGAAAAATGAGGCCGATCTTGCTTTGCTTGACTTTTGTTGGTGAACCTGTTACGGGTTGGCCGAACTGGGTTCCCACCCCCTAAAAAAAAGATTCGGTGAAGGCTTAACTCCCAGTGCCTCAGAATGTGACTTTATGTTGAGGCAGAGTCTTTCCAGAGGGAATCGGGTTAGAATGAGGTCATGAGGGTGGGCCCTCATCCAATATGACCGCTGTCCCCATAAAAAGGGGAAATTTGGACATAGAGAGACACACAGAGGGATAATGATGTGAAAAGACTCGGGGAGGAGGCGGCCGTCTACAAGCCAAGGAGGGAGGCCTGAGAGCCCCCAGAAAAAACCAATCCGTGGACACCTTAATTTCAGACTTCTAGCCCCCAGAACTGGCAGACAGTACACCTCTTTCTGTTAGGTAAGCCACCCAGACTGGTGGCTTTGCACAGCAGGCCTAGCAAACTAATACAGAAGCTACGAGGGCTCTTTCCTTTGAGTCCCGCAGACCATCCCTGTGCTTACCCACAGGAGACTTTCGCCAGGAATTAATGTCAGATTTATTAGGCTGTACTTTCTACAGTCTGTCTCTTCTTCCACTTTCTAAAACCAGGCCTACTTTGCCTTCTCCAGAACCTTCACGGAGCCCTCTTTTGCAGATAATTTCTCAAAAAGACCAGGCAATAACGAGCATAACTCATACTTACACGCTATCAACTCTGAGTCAGCTGTTTGCACGGATTGCCTCACTCGGTCCTTCCAGTCCCCGGAAGAGGCGGGAAGATCCATTGCTGTCTTCAGACAGAGCACAGCCACCTCCTTCCGCAGGTGGACTGAGGAAGCATCACCTGTCCACAGACGAGGAAACTGAGGCACAGTGAGGCGAAGTAACCCAGCGGAGCTCCAGAGTCTGTTCCCTTAACCCCCACCCCCATCCCCACGTCCCCTCTCGTTTGTTGTTCAAGGCCATGGATCACGGGCTTCAGGTGGACGGGATCCTCAGGTCCCCGAGGTGCCATCCGTCTGGACCTGGAGACCCAAACGTTCTCCAGTTCTGCGATGAATGACGCACGTTCACTTTAACTCCTTGATGACGCCTGCGAACATTTTCTAGCTGGAAATGGCTTCTTCTCGGTTGAGAGGATGACAACTAACTAGCAACCCAATAATTCTCCTTGCTTCTCTGTCTTCTTTTATCATCACCTAGTCTCCCCCCAGCCACGGTTCATCTCTTGTCTCGGGATAGACGTGCATTTGAGACTTGCTTGTCTTTAGAACTTCTTACGAGCCTTTGCTCACGCCGGCCGTCGGCTTGCTTGGCCCTATTCTTACTGTCGGTACGTTCTTGAATACTCAGCTTTTACCATCTTTCACATAGTGTGTTGTACTCGTCAGAGCTCAGAAAGCCCGCAGGGGATGCCCTATGTGGCTTTTCGGTTTGGGGTTTGGTTTTTGTTTCAGGAGGCATTCCCCTTTTCTCACTCGTGGGAATAACCCACCTTCAATCAGAGCTTTATTTTTCCAAGTCTTCTATCTCGCTGAGTCAGCCTTCTCTCTATCCCTTCTTTCCTCTCCTCTGTAAACTACATGAAGGCCAAATGCCAGCCAAGGACCGCTCGCACACAGTCCCCGGGCTCTCCTGAAGTCGGCCGTGTGGCGTGACCAGCCACCCCTCCCTTCACCCTGAGGCACCAGAGACCGCTTGTTCCAAGGTCCTGGCAACCGCGACATCACCAGCCAGTCCTTCCTTATGTCCCCCCGTGAAGTCCGTAGCAACTTGAAAACAGTGAAACTGTACCCAAAAGGCACAGCAAAAGATCCACTGATACTCTCTCCCGCCTCCAGCGGCTCATTAAACCTCCCTTCCCCGCTGCATCTTGCCTCTGCGCCGAAGTGGAAACGTGCGGAGAGAGCTTGGGTGGTTCTCTCTTCCCACCTGCCTGTAGCGGTGCCCACATCCCATGTTCTCCGTCATTCTTCCACCTTCGAGTGTCTTTCTTTCTATACGTGGATCCACCTTTTAGACATGTTTCTTTTTTAGCACAGCCAGCCTCCCCGCTGCCAGAATTTCATTATCAGCTCGTC